CTTTCTCAAACACACAAGTAAGGTCGCAGCAAATTTCCAAGGCAAGTCCATTTAACATGGGGTACACTGGCAAGGATTACGATGCGTCATACCTACTTGGTAATGGCCCTCAGCATTGCTGTGATCAAAATACCCCAAAAGACCAACTTGGAAGAAGAAGAGTTTATTTTGGGCTCACAGTTTCAGAGGTTCAGTCCATGGTTGGCTGATTTCATTGCTTTAGGCCAGATAAGGTAGAACACCACGGCCCAAGTGCAACAGTGGAGGAAAGCTGCTCCCCTCATAGCAGGCTGGAAGGTAGGGGAGTAGGGATGGAGCGGGGGACAAGATATAGTCCCCAAGGGCCCACTCCCAGTGACCCACCTCCTCCAGTCACACCCCATCTGCCTACAGTTATCACCCAGTGAGTTCATTCAAACTAGGATAAACTAATTAGATTATGGTTCTCATAATCCATCCATTTTACCTCTGAACATTCCGGCATTAACAGGAGCTTTTGGGGGACACCTCATATTCAAACCATAACATGCATACATACATATAAATGCACCACATCTTTGGCTTATAAATTTCAATCTTAAAATTTAACCTACAGATATAACCACACAGGAAAGAAATTACATATGTCATAGGTTACTTATTACAGCATTTCATTTATAATAGCAACAGACTAGAAGCAATCTTAATGTCCATCAATAAGGGATTGGTTAAATAAATTATGGCACACCCAAATCAAATTCTATGCAGCTATATAAAAACATTTAAATCTCTTTGGGTACTGATACAAGTGGATCTTCAAAATCCATTGGCAWATGAAAAAAACAAGATGCAGACTAATGTAATATAGAGGATGACATGACTTAGGTATGTATGCATATATTTGGTTGTATTTACACAAAGTATCTCTGAAAAGATGAGAGAGGAAGTGGGAGACTGGAGATGGGTCAGGAGGGAGAATTTTATGATTTGATCTTTTGTATTTTTTGAATCTTGATTTATGTATTAAGTATTACTTATTTAAGAAAATATAACGCAAATGGAAACAAAACACAATGACAAAAATTAAAGCAATGACACGATATAGTAAAGCAAAGTTATATATATATACACAAAGTCAAAACAGTACAGATGGGTATAAAATTAAAACTAAAACTTCCCCTCCTCCATATTCCTTACATTTAAAATAATGTATGTTGTATTTTATCCAACATTTTCTAGGTATTTTGTAACAGGGATTTTTTAAATTTTAAAAATTACATCGGGCTGGGGATGTAGCTCAAGCGGTAGCACGCTCGCCTGGCATGCGTGCAGCCTGGGTTCGATCCACATACAAAGATGTTGTGTCCGCCGAAAACTACAAAAATAAATATTAAAAAAAATTCTCTCTCTCTCTCTCTCTCTCTCTCTCTCACTCACTCTCTCTCTTTAAAAAAAAATTATCTAGTTCTCCACATTGGAAAGGGAAGTGTTCTTTTTTCCTTTTTTAATTTTTTGGTACTGAGGATTAAACCCAGGGGTGCTTCACCACTAAGCTACAGCCCCGCCCTTTTAAATTTTTATTTGAGACAGTGTCTCACAAAATTGTTCAGGGCCTCATTAAATTGTTGAGGCTTCCCTGGACTTACTATACTCTTGCCTCATCGTCCTAAATAGGTCATAAAAAGACACTTTTTTTACTGGATCAAGAAGACAGATTGTGGTCTTGTTGGACCTCAACTGAGAATGTGGCTTTGGGCATTTCAAATTCATTCACCTCAAGAGCTCATATATTGGTTTTGGGGTTACAAATCAACGTGAGTAGGCGAGTTGTCAAATAGAGTCTTCCCATAATAAGACAGGCTACATTGTTAAAAGAAAAATTTCAGACCAATTAAATTACACAGTTAATTTGAGCCAATTCATGAATCAGTTATCACTTATAATGAAAAGAGTTTCAGAGAGCTGTGCTCCCCAAGGTGAGCAGTATCTACAAACAAAAAATGAAAGTACAGAAATAATTACTTGTAGCCAGGTGGTTGCTTTATTTGCCATAAAATTGAATGAAACCTGACTGTTTTAAAAAATATACTCCTAGTTAAATTTTAGTTTGTTTATGTACTATGTTAGTATGCATCTTTTTTTTTTTTTTAAAGAGAGAGTGAGAGAGGAGAGAGAGAAAATTTCTTTTTTAATATTTATTTTTTAATTCTCGGAGGACACAACATCTTTGTTGGTATGTGGTGCTGAGGATCGAACCCGGGCTGCACGCATGCCAGGAGACCGTGCTACCGCTTGAGCCACATCCCCAGCCCTATGTACTAGGGTCAAAGTGAGGCACAGATCTCACTTTGACCCATTCTGACCCATTTCTTTCTGTGATGACATGAAGTACACAATTTGAGAGATAGGGTAGAGTAAGGGCATTGAAGAGGAATGCATTTGTTACATCTTTGCTAGGCATATTTATACATATAAATCTATAGTACAGAGATGTGATCTAAGAAGGTGTTTTTAATTCTGCTTGGTAACCAGACATGTTAACCATTATTGGGATGAGGCCATTCTGACATTTCACCCATTACTGGCATGAGGTTATCTTTCTTTGTTTTTGGTACCAGGGATTGAACCCAGGAGCACTTTACCACTGAGCTACATCCCTAGTGTTCTTTATTTTTTGAGGCATCTAAGTTGCTTAGGGCCTCCTCTCTTTACCATGGTTGATTTTGGGACTGTCAGCAAAAGAGTCTCTGTAAATGAGTTCAATGTAGATAAACTTCCTATTTTTGTGTTGCTCTGATTTACTTGGCCACTGGCTGGGAAGAAATCAGCACTCCAGGTGTGAACACCCCCTTACCAGTTTTTCACAAACTTGTATCCAGTACAGTAGTTTGGAGAACCAGACATGTTAACCTCTGGCCTTGAGCTGGGGCTTCACAGAGATGTCTACATTTCTAAGATAAGAGAAGTTACCAATTGGGCTCCATGGTACAGCTGGCAGGGGGAGGGAAAAAAAGAGAAGAAGCTCTCCCCTTCTCAGGTGATGTCCTTGAAGGTTTAACTTGCCCAGAACAGTGAAAGAAAAAGCTGCTTTTATGTAAACTTCTGCAGACTGTGAACTTCTGAGCCCCTTCCCTTACATGTTGGGTATAAAACTCTGAAACTGCCTGATCTCAGGGTTCAGGGGATTGATTGATTACAGCAAAAGCTGTGCCCTCTGAACCTGGCTGCAGCCAAATAAAACTGTTTCCTACTATTTTTGGTGCCTTGCCTTGTCTGTCCCTACAACAATACCTGTGGCTAAGGTTTAACAATTGATTTAATAGTGTTGTTTGTGTCCAGGTATGTGAACATGACCTTTAAGTCTGGACTTTTACTTAATCTATGTGAAAGTGGACTTTATACCATGGCCACTCTTGTTTCGTCCTGCAAGCCCCCTTTCTACTTATCCTTATTGCTTCTATTCCACCTCATCACTCATTTTATCCTACCAAAACAACGTTTGAGAATTTCAGGTTAGAAAACAAAGATGCACAACTGGAGACTGAAGATCCTGCATCTATGGGCAAGCTTCCCCTTTCCTTGATGAGTGTATACAGTAAGTTTATCTCATGCATTGACTCTSCTTCCACCATCACTAATGCAATAGAGAAAGTTAAAAAGACTCTCATTAAAAGAACATTAAAGAATCTCAGGCATGTAGAGTCCCCTTTTGGCCAACCCCTCCTGTCTCAGGCCCTACTCCAGGCCTTCTCTCTCAAGRTGAAGACTAAACAGGCCCAGAGCGTGGGAGGTGACTTGTGTCAGGCTAGAGAGAGCTTGGTCCTGGAAGGGACAGATTACCTAACGCCCCACAGGGCACGCGCCACCGCGCGTGCGCACTGCCGAGTCCGCCCGGCAGGCCCCGCCTCCCGCCCCACCGGGCTGCCTTGAGGGCGCTTGCTGCTGCCCGGGCTTCAGTCGGTTGGAACCCGCTTCTGCTGAGCTTGTGTCCGCCGGTAGCTGGCCCAGCCATGCTTTCTCGCGCAAGCAAGTCTCCGCCCCARCGCCGGGTGTTTGTAGTGGGGGTTGGCATGACCAAGGTAAACAGAGGGGAGGACTTTGTTCCYGGGAGGCCTGGAGCCCCAAGGTGATGGGAAACGGGGGCCAGGTTCTTTCCCCCTCCTTCCTGCCGGGGGACGACCCTCCTTCCTAGCTCCAGCTTCTTGGAGSGAGGGACATCAGAGAGGCCGCTCGAGTGGGATGTGATATTGGTGTCTCCTGTCGTGCCTCGGATTGGACCTGAGGCCAATTATTTATTCTTCCTCCKTCCTTCTCTCTTCTTCCTTGTCAGTTTGTGAAGGAGCCCCCAAGTTAACCCAGGGCTCACACTTTCTTTGATTATAAGTGGAGTCCCGAAGAATGTGCACAGGGCAACAGCTGTCTCACATCCAAAGGGAAGCAGGTCATGAATGTCACCAGTTCTGCTCCCCCCCCCCCCAAGTACTTGTAGTACCCTATCAGAACCRTCTCCAAAAGTGGTTGGGGAGCAAACATTAGTGATCCTCAGCGTCTTGGCACAGGTGACAGGTTTCCTGGGTTCTCTGAACTTTTTGTATCTGCCTGGTCCTCAGGAGGCCAGAAGTGTCTCTCTTCAACACTTCTGTGCTAGAATAATGCCAAACTGCCATTAGTTTCTTTCATTTTAAGCTTTTCTTGTCATTATTTGTATCATTTGTCTTCAGCCCGGACCCTTGACCCATACTGGGGATTGAATCCATG